TTGTTTTATGTTTGCTTATTTTGCTATGAACTGCCCCATAAGGACTGCTTTCTCTGTATCCTAGAGGGTTTGATATGTTATATTTTAATTTATTTTGGAGATTTTTTTAATTTCACTTTTTATTTCTCCTATTACCCACTAGTGTTCAAGCAGAGTGTTATTTAGCTTCTACTTGGGTGGGTTTTTATGCCACTCCAGCTTTTTTGTGGATGCCATTTGCTTGGTAGATGTTTTTCCCCAACTTTTGACTTTTCGTCTTTACCCTCCATTCCTTAGATGTGTCTCTTGTAGGCAACATATTGATGGGCTTTGTTATTTGGGTTTTTTGTTTTGTTTTTTTTATCACTTCCGCTATTCTCTTTCTTTTAATCAGTGACTGAATCTATTTACATTATGTGTTTATTGACAGGCCAGATTTTATTGCTGCCATTTTCATCACAAGTAATTTTGCTTTTGTCTTGCTACTTCCTGTCTTCTCCTTTCACTACACACACCCCTCTTAATTGTGCCTGCCCAGGAACGAGGAATTGTCTCTGCCAGTGGGCCTTGAACTTGGGACAGAGCCTGTAACAGTTAGAAGACAGCCAAGCTGGAAAGCAAACAGGACAACTTAGCTACCCCAGTATTTTGACTGTAGAGCCTTATACTGACTGCCTGCCCATCCAGACCACCATTTATTGGCTCACAATCCTAATGGTAAAAGGTCAGATGTACTTTAAAGCCTTTGCATGTTATTGTTGTTGTATACCTTAGAATGAGAACTGACCCACAGCTGATCTCCAGCAAGTTTTCAGAGGCAGTTAATCACTCAGGAGGAGACTGCCCATCATTTAACCCCCATGGAGCAGCTGATTGTCTCGAACTTTATGCCTTCAGGATTGCAGCACAGCTTCTTGCCACTAAGCCATCTATATTATATTGGGTTCTGCCTATTAATGTTGGGATGATTTTGTTTGTCAGTGCCTGATATCTGAATTTACACAAGTTGAGTAAGAATAGATTTGGAACTGTATAATACATTTGGATATATGCACCTTCCATAATATTGTGAAGTGCAGTGGGATGCATTACAATCAGGAGAATGGAATCTTTCAGAACTTTTAGTTATTGAGTGCTGGTCATGACTAACCATTGCTCTCCAAAAGCCTGCAACTACTGTGGTGTTTTATGATTTAACTGAAAGCTTTTTTTCCTTGTTCAAAGCTTGGCAGATATTTATAATCTAGGCTTTAAATTCTTATACCCGTTCTGGATATACCTCCTGTGTTGTTTTAGAAATGTCTCATTGTTATTCCGAGCCATATATGTGAAAAGAAAGTCAAATTATTTTGTGTATTATATCTACTTGGAAAAAAACTGAACTTTTGAAGAACACTTTTAGTTGTTTTGTGGAAATTGTTTGTTTGGGGGAGGTATGGCTTTTAGTATGAGTGGTGCTTGTTTCTGAGAAGTAGGTTTGAATGTAGCCACTCAAAATCTTTCAAGTGGATTCGGGTATCTTTCTCTGTGTATGTGTGGTGTGTTTGTATATGTATTGCCTTTGTGCAAGAGTTTGTGATTCTAAGTGAATAATTTTAAAATAGCCCTCTTTGTGGTGGTTAACTCTAAGTAGATTTAACTTGAAGTCATTTACACCTCAGGGTAGGAACATAGATAACATTATGTTTCATCAGAGGAAGAAACTTTTTCCTAGGGTGACAGACACATTTGAGAAGACATTTATTTTTCCATACATAAATTGTCTCTGTGGAGCTTTAAACAGACATCCCTAAAACCTGAGTCAGTTTACCTTATAGAGTTTCAAAATTAGCACTTTGGATTTAATCTAGTCAATTTTTACTTGAATAATAAAATTACATTAGCACTTGCTGTTCCTTGGTCTTTATCGCTTGCATAAAAAAAAATGCTTCCTAAAATAAAAAAAAAAGAAAATAAAAACAGCAAAACCCAACCAGAAACGTTTCCTGCAATTCAAATACTGGCAACTCTGTGGGAGAAGGAGGAGCCATCTTCTCCCTTTACAGTTTACAGCCTGGAAACCCAAGGGGTTGATTGTTAAAGATCAAAAAGGACTCCTTGGCAGTGAGTATGTTTCTGCTTTGAAGCCCAGGAATAAGTTTTATACAAATGTATTCTGTTCTTACATATTTGTAAATTATTCTTTACCCTAAAAAAGAAACTCTCTTCTTCACATTGGGGAGCAGGGGTCGTCAGGTCCTGACCGTAACAGGCTTCAAATGATGCAATGTTCAAAACCATATTTCTTATTTTATTGCTAAACTTTACCCTAATTCCTCAGCATTTTAGAGAATATTGGAGCAGTTGAGAAATGTAGGGATCATTTAGTGGAGCCTTCAACAAGTTACGTATGAAGAAACCAAGATGACAACTTCCCAAAGATACACATAGTTAATAGAAGAATGAGACTAAAGGAGAAATATTCTTGGGTTTTACCTCTCATAATTAAGCTTTAGGAGATTAAAATATTAACCTAGGATTCTGGCCTACCCTTAAAAGTTACATTTTTCTAGTCTTGGCTTACAGGGAGAGATAGTCTCAAATGAAATAATTCTTTCACTTCATGCTCGTGAATCCTAGGCAGATTTAGCAATTGCGAATATACTCTGTTTTCCCTATCAATTGTTCTTAGTTAACATGATGTCAGTCCAGAGGGATGAAACATCTCCTGGCCTTGAGTGCCATATGCATGATTGTTGGTATGTGTGAATCTATTGTTAGAACTATTCCATCACTCCATCTCATTGAAGATTTGCCTCTGCTTTGCTGACTCTTTACAACTGTGGCATCCTTTTCTAGTGAATGATGTCCTGTGTAAGCAGGACTAAGTCTCATCCTCCATGCTCTGAGGAGCATTCAAATTCTATTTTTTCTAAGACTGATCTGTTCATCCAGTTCAGGTTGTAAACATTACAGTTCAAAGCAATTCTTCTGTATTCCTTTTTAATTGTCTAGCTTTCATGTGCATATGAGGTAAGTAAGATGTCCTTGGCTTTGATCAGTTCATCTTAGTCATCAAAATGGTCTTTTTGATTTTGTAACATTTTAAAGAGGTGTTTTGTTTTGTTTTTCAGCAGATTGGCCCAATGCAATATATTGTTTGATTTTTTTAAATTTTATTTTTTGCCTACTGCTTCTGTGAATATTAATTGTCGATTCAAGTAGAATGAAATATTACAAACATCTTTTTCCCCCCATCCCCATCAGTAGGCTCTACGCAATTTTTTCTCCAAAGAAGATGAAATAACATCATACTCTATAGAAAAGGTTTTGGACAATGCTACTATAATAAATGGAGAAAAGGTTGAAGTTGCCAATGATTCCATTTACTTGGATCCACATTGATCCTTGATACTAACAGTCAGTCAGGAGACTGGTTCCTGGAGTTACATTGGGCAAGTCTGTTGTCAATGACCTCTCCAAAATGCTGTGGAACAGTAATGTCAGTATGAAGACTAATGTGCACCTGATTGAAGCCAGTGCCTTTTCAGTCACTTGCTATGCATTTGAGAGCTGAGTAAGGATGACAGAACAAGATTCAATGCCTTTGAGTTGTAGTGTTGGAGTATTGAATGTCCCATAGACAGCCAAAACAAACAAACAAATTCTTAGAGAAAGTGAAGTTAGGATGCTCCTTAGAGGCAAGAGTGGTAAAGCATGAAGCTTCACTTCACATATTCTGGGCTTGTTGTTAGGAGCAGTTGGTCCTTGGAGAAGAACATTATGCTTGGAAAGGTCAGTGAAATATGCAAAGACCTTCAGTGAGATTAATTGACACCGTGACTGCAACAATGAGCTCAAGTGTATCAGAAATTATGAGGATGGCATAGGATAGGGCAAAGAGCAGAGCCAATGTCCATAGGGTCACTTTGAATCTTAGTCAGCTCTGTAGCACCTAAAAACAGCAACAACCTTCTTGGGAGAAAGTAGACAGTCTCTTCCCATGCTGTTTACAACCTCTGCAAACCTGCTGGAGGGCCAGCTATGAGTTTGTTCTGACTGGCTGGCAGTGAGTTTGAGGTACCTTTTTTGTTTGTTTGGTTGGTTGGTTGGTTGGTTGATTGGTTGGGTGGGTGGTTAATTTTAGTTTTGCCAACACTGAGCTCTCTCTAATTAGTAGGCCTGAGCCTATTTGGCCCCTTTGGACCAGTGTTGTCCAAAACTGGTCAGAATTACTTACATCTCAGTGGAGACAGATAGTTCCCTGATTGATTAAAATAAAATATGTACCTGTGGATCTCATTGAGGACATTGCCTAGTTCTGTAATGGCTTGGTTCCTGTAGTTGTAATATTGGTTCCTTCGTTGGTTAGCATCTACAAACAACATCTTTTTCACGTGAAGAAACTTTAGGATACTTTGTGGTGATCTCTGGGGTGCAAACCCAGAGCTTGGAAGCTACAAAGACCCCAAGGAGCTGCAATGCCATCTGAAGGTACACAGTTGGAATCTCCCTGTTCAGCAGGAGAAAGCTGGGCAATCTCCTCTCGTGTGATTTACTGACTCTGAAAACTGCCTGGAGGGTCAGTTATGCGTCTGTCCCACGTGAAGGTACATAACAACAATAGCAGAGCTGGCTGCAAAGAGTCTCTTAAGTTAGGTGACCTTATTGTAGTGATAGGGAAGTTGAGGCTCCGCTACGTAAGTGACTTCTCCCCGACTTCACAGTGAAGGAAACATAAGTATATATATTTCGCAGTCATCTTTTATTTCAAGAGCAGAATTTCTCCTTAAGCTGTCTGAGCACAGAAGCAAGTCACGTTATCAGGGCAGACTTAAAGGCTTGAAACTTCAGTGAAGAGTCAGGACTCGGCCTTCCTGGAAGCTTGACTGTCTTTGGTTATTCATTTAGACTATGCTCCGCAAGAGAAATTAGCTTTTTACCTGCCTCTTTAGTTGGAGTAGTTAAAAAAGGAAAAGCAGCCTTTCTGGCGAGAATGCTGCCAGGGAAGCATTGCTACAGTGTTTATTCCCACCACTGCCATGTCGAAGTCAGAGACTCCTAAAGAGCCTGAACAACTGAGAAAACTATTCATCGGAAAGTTGAGCTTTGAAATGACAGATGTAAGTCTGAGGAGCCATTTTGTGCACTGGGGGATGCTCACAGACTGTGTGGTAATGAGAGATTCAAACACCAAGCGTTTCAGAGGCTTTGGAAATGTCACATACTCAATTGTGGAAGAGGTGGATGCAGCCATGAATGCCAGGCCTCACAAGGTGAGAATGGAAGGTTGTGGAACCTAAGCAGGCTGTCTCGAGAGAAGATTTTGCAAGACCAGGTTGCCACTTAACTGTGAAAAAGATCTTTGATGATGGAATTAAAGAAGATACTGAAGAACATCACTTATGAGATTATGTTGAGCAGTATGAGATAATTGAAGTGAAATCATGACTGACTAAAGCAGTGGCAATAAGAGGAGCTTTGCTTTTGTAACTTTTGCTGTCTATGATTCTATAGATAAAATCTTTATTCAGAAATGCTATACTGTGAATGGTCACAACTGTGAAGAGAGGAAAGCCCTGTCAGAGCAAGAGATGGTCAGTGCCTATTCCAGCCCAAGAGGTCTAGGTGGTTCTGGAAACTTTGGTAGTGGCCATGAAGATGGTTTTAGTGGAAGAGGAAACTTCAGTGGACAAGATAGCTTGGTGGCAGCCATGGTGATGGAGGATATGAAGGCTGTGGAAATGTTTATAATGGATTTGGTAATGATGGAAACAACTTTGGAGGTGGTGGAAGTAACAATGATTTTGGCATTTACAATAATCTTTAAATTTTGGACCCATGAAGAGAGGAAGCTTTGGAGCCCTTATGGTGGTGGAGATCAATATTTTACCAAAACATGAAACCAAGGTGGCTCTGGTGGTTCAAGCAGCAGCAGCAGTAGCTATGGAAGTGACAGACAGTTTTTAATAACTGCCAGGAAATAAAGCTTAGCAGGAGAGGAGAGTCAGAGAAGTGACAGGGAAGCTACAGGTCACAAAAGATTTGTGAACTCAGCCAGGCATGGTGGTGACAGAACCTTACTGCTACAAGGAAGACATGTTTCAGACAGCCCTCAAGTGTATGGGCAAAAAAAAAAACCGTCAAAAACTGTATTTGTGAATATTTGTAAAACAGGTTGTTTTAATTTCTGTTCTATGGAAAGTGTAAAGCATTCTGAAAACAAAAGGGTTTTAAAGTAATTTTTCTTTTTTACCCATACTGTTGATTGCTAAATGTAATAGTGTGATCATGACGCTGAATAAATGTCTTTGAAAAAAAAAAAAAAAAGAAATCCAGACCGTGAGCCCTGCAGGGTGTGAGCCAGACAGCTGCAATCTGAGTGAGGTCCCCATGCATACTCACCTGGACAGCTAGCCCTGCTTAGCACGAACTAGACAGCTATAATCAGACTGAGGTCCACACACATATCTACCCGGACAGCTACAATCTGAGTGAGGTACCCACAAGTGCCCACCAGATGAGTGTCTGCCCACACACCTGCCTGGTGTATGCTGGCACATGAGAGCCTTGGTCTGGCTTAGCTGCAACAATTATCCTAAAGAAGAGGCCACTTTCACAGGCCCTGAATTGAAATTTCCCTTGGTTCAGAAGTCCATAGGGAAACACAGGCAGCAAAGCTGCCACACCCTATTCTGTAGCAGTTACTTCAGATAAAGTACCTATCATCACTTGAGGCATGAAAAACTCTACCACAGCCAGATCACATAAGAAGCAGTCTACCTCACACCCTACACAAGCACAAAGCAAGGTGTGACACCCCCCCAAAAAAAAATGACACAGTATCAATGGATTTTCTGAAGCCAGAAAATCTGATGGAACTTGCTGATGCAGAAAATGACTGAATATTTTCAGTGGGTGAAAGACAAACTTGAAGAATTATAAGACACTGCAAACAAAAACCAGGCAGAGCTTTAAAAAAACAATCAAAACAATGCAGATAAAACAAAGGAGGCACTAGAGGCTCTAGAAAAACAAGAAATCATGATCCAAAATATGAAGCCCAATGTCTCAGATGCTGTCAACATGATGGAGGGACACATGAAAAGAGTTGAAGAGATGGAATACAGAATCAATGAAATAGAAGATAGAATTGTCACCACTGATCTGCTAGATGAAAAAGCAGAGTCAAAAAGAAAGGAAAAAGAAAATCTAAGAATAATGTTGGACACCTTCAAGAGAAATAACATGCACATCATTGGAATCCCAGAACAGGAAGAAGCCAGTAAAGGCACTGAAAAAGTTGTGGAAGTCTTACTAGAGGAAAACTTCCCAAACATAATGAAGAATGAGAGAATATATATTCAAGAAGCTGAGCAAACCCCATATAGAATAGACCCCAGAAGAAAAACTCCAAGGCCTATCATAGATTTACTAGAACCAAAGATAAGGAGAGAATTCCGAAAGCAGCTAGGGAGAAACAAAGAGTAACCTATAAGGGAAAGGAGATAAGATTAAGTGCTGATTTCTCAGCAAAAACTATGTGAACAAGAACACAACTGTCAACCAAGTCTACTGTACCCAGAAAAACTGTCCATTAAATATGAAGGAGAGATCAAGATATTCACAGAAAAACAGAGCCTAAGGGAGTTTGTAAAACAAGACCAGCCTTTCAAGAAACACTGAGAAATGTCCTTCTTACACAGGTGCCACATATAGCCACATGGACCAAAGTAATTTGCAACTACACCAAAAAGAACACAATGATAGCAATAAAAACTTGCCTCTCATTAATCACACTGAATGTGAATGGTTTATATGCACCACTGAAGAAAAAAAGAGTAGTAGATTGGATGAAAATACAAAATTCATCAATATGCTGTCTACAAGAGACATACCTGATAAGTGAAGACAAAGAAAGACTAAAAATAAAAGGTTGGGGAAAATACCAAGCAAATGGCAACCAGAAAAAAAAAACAAACCAGGAGAAGCGATATTAAACTCTGATAAAATAAATTTCAATGCAAAAACCATCACAAAGGACAAGGAAAGCCACTATGTAATGCTTAAAGGGGCAGTAGAACAAGAGGGCATAATAATAATAATATCTATGCACCAAATGATAGAGCTGAAAAAATATATATATATATAAATCAAACCTTAAGAAAACTGAAAAAGGAAATAGACAACACGACTGTAGTAGTTGAAGGCTACAATACACCACTCTCAAAAGATAGACCTACCAGAAAGAAACTCAAAAAAGATGCTGAAGAGTTAAACCACACAATAAACCAACTTGATCTCATAGATATTTATAGGCTAATGCACCCCAGAAAAGCACAGTACACCTTCTTCTCCAAAGTGCATGAAACGTTCTAGAGAATAGATCACATTTTAGGTCACAAGGCAAGCATCAATAAATAACATAGAAATAATACAAAGCATCTTCTCAGACAACAAATATGAAGAGATTGAACACAGATGGCTACAAAATTAGAAATTAATAACAGGAGGATCAAGGAGAAAAGAGACTCATATTTTGAAGCTGAACAACACCTTGCTTGAACATGAGTGGGCACTGGAAGAAATAAAAAAGGAAATTAAAACACTTCTTGAAATAAATGACCATGAGGGGAGCTCTGGTGGCCTAGTGGTAAGGGGCTGCAACTACAATCCCAGAGGCGCACAGTTCGAATCCACCAGATGCTCTGCCGGGGAAGGAGGGACAATCTCCTCCTGTACCAGTCAGATCTGATTTGACAGTACACTCACACAAAAATAAAAAAAAATAATTTAAAAAATGACCATGAAAACACGACTTACCAAAACCTCTGGGAAGCAGCCAAATCCGTAATCAGAGGTCAATTGATAGCTATAAGGCAACACATCAAAAGGCAGGAAAAAATTACCATTGACTCTCTAACCCAGCATCTCCAACAAATTGAAAAACAGCCAGACAACCCAACACCGTCTAAAAACAAACTGTAATTATAAAAAAAGGGGGGGAAGCAAATGAATTGGAAAACAGAAAAATCATTGAAACCATCAACAAAACTAGGAGTTGTTTCTTTGACAAGGTCAATAAAATCGACACACCACTAGCAAAACTAACATAGGAAAATAAGGAAAAGACACAAAAAACAGGAGTAAAAGATGAAATGGGCAATGTCACAACAGAAACAACTGAAATATAAAGGCTAACAATGTGATATTATGAAAAACTATACTCAAACAAATATGAAAACCTAGAGGAAATAGACAAATACTTAGAAATTCACAACTTACCTAAACTGACACAAGCTGAAATTGAACACCTGAACAAACCCATTACAGAATAAGAAATTAAAAAGGTAATAAAAAAACCTCCAGCCAAAAAAAAAAAAAAGCCCCAGACCAGATGGTTTTACAAGTGAATCTTATCAAATATTCAGAGAACTGTCACCAATTCTACATAAACTATTTCAGAAATTAGAAAAAGATGGAATTCTCCCAGTCTCCTTCTATGAAGCAAACATATCCTTGATACCAAAGCCAGGTAAAGACACCACCAAAAAGAAAACTATAGTCCAATAACTCTCATGAACATAGATGCAAAAATCCTGAATAAAATCCTGGACAATAGAATCCAGTGATCCATTAAAAAAAAAAAATTTCACCGTGATCAAGTGGGATTCATAACAGATATGCAAAGATGGTTCAACAGTGTAATTCATCACATGAACAAAGAACAAGAACCACATGATCCTATAAATTGATGCAGAAAACACCTTTGATAAAATCCAGCACCCTATCCTGATTAAAACACTCAACAAAATAGGATTAGAGGGGAATTTCCTTGACATAGTAAAAAGCATATACACAAAGAGAGCCAACATTGTTCTCAAAGGAGAGAGACTAAAGGCATTCCCTTTGAGAACAGGAACTAGGCAACGATGCCCAGTATCACCTCTCCTATTCAATATTGTATTGGAAATCTTAGCAATAGCATTGAGAGAGAAGAAGGATATAAGACGTATCCAAATTGGCAAAGAGGAGATAAAATTATCTCTATATGAAGATAATGATAGTATACTTAGAAAACCTTAAAGACTCAGCAAGAACACTACTGGCCATTGTTGACCAATTCAACAAAGTAGCAAGATACAAGATCAACATACAAAAATAAATTGGATTTCTCTACAGTGACAAAGAGAATACAGAACTGGAGCTAAGAAAAATAATACCCATCGTAATAGCTAATCACAAGATAAAATTCTTGGGCGTGCATCTAAGAAGCACACAAGATCTATTCAAAGAAAATTACAAAACATTACTACAAGAAGCAACAAGAGACATGGAGAAATGGAAGAATATAACTTGCTCTTGGATAGGAAGACTCAATATTGTGTAAATGACAATACTAGCAAAGGCAATTTACACATTCAGTGCAATCCCACTACAAATACCAATCCCATTTTTCAATGAGATTAAAAAGACAATCTCCAATTTCATTTGCAATGGAAAGAAGCCCTAAATAAGGAAAGCACTCCTTAAAAAGTGAAACAAGGTAGGAGGCATATCAGTCCCTGGTTTCAAATCCTACTACACTGCTGTGGTGGTCAATTCAGCGTAGTACTGGTACAGTGACAGACACATATAGATCAATGGAATAGAATTGAGAATCCAGAAATCAGCCCATCGACCTATGCTCAAATGACTTTTGACAAGGAGATTAGATGAGTTAAGTGGGGAAACGACAGCCTTTCTAACAAATGGTGTTGGCAAAATTGGCAAACTGTCTACAGAAAACTCAAGCCAGATCCACACCTCACTCCATACACAAAAAACAACTCAAAGTGGATCATGGACCTAGGACTAAAATCAAGGACTATGAACTTCATTAGAGAAAAGCTTGGAATAACTCTAGAAGCCCTAATTCTCAACATTAACACTCTTCCAAGCATCCTAAAAAACCTAAAACCAAGAGAAGATAAAATAGATGAATGGGACCTTCTAAGAATCAAATCCCTATGCACATCCAAAACCTTCTCTGACATTGTAAAAATGGAAGCCACAAACTGGGAAAGAGA